AATAAAACCTTATTATTTCAGTCTTATTCAATAAAATGTCTGAACCCTTGTCAATTTAGATATCTTATTACTTCAGTTTTCTTGCCTTCTCTAGCTAATATTATTATGGTCACTTTACTGCTGTATTTTGATACTTACTATCATTTTGTCTACCGTAATCACAATGGTTTTCACACGTTCTTGCACACGGTTACATAACGGTTTCTATCATGTCTGATCAATCCATCGATTTATGAAAATAGTCATTTGTTCACTATTGAACTAAATTACGATATGTATCTTATCCATTAAATTAGATTGATAAAATATGCTTTTAAAATTAATTTCTTTATGCACACCAGTACATATGTGGAAGATTTAAAGCACACAAAGTGAAATTAGGTCACCTCATTCTATCAAGTTTATTGTCTTTGCTTTACAAAAGTTTGTTAAATGATCTAACTGCATGAAATATCAACATGCTCAAAGGTTAAAAAACAAACTATTTAACCGATTACTGTAAAGTCGTCATCGAAGTAAATTCGAATGGAGTTGAGATTAAATATTTTTGTGAATAATCTTTAAAAATAAAACGAGCCTAACGTTTTATCGATGGGATACATGAAGTCAGATTCCGTCAATCGGAGAGCACATATTAAATGCCAAAATATTTTTGTAGATGATGCTACTTATATTCATCATTTACAAAATAAATCAATAATTATTTCGTTTTTAGTTAGGATTACAAGTTGTCTTTTCAATTAGATAAATGCAACTTAATATAGTTTTTCATTTGAACATACTAACAAGGACTCATTTTCATTGTCTTACCGCATAATACAGACTTGAGATTGACGTCAATGAATTAAATGCATCAAGTTGATTGAATACAAGTATGGGTCTGAGCAAACACTATGAATAATTTACGTGACGAGTAATTATTCCATAGCAGATTCAGGCGTTACCGTTTTGTTCCTGATTTCGTCAAAGAAGCACAGTCAAGATCCTCAGGTTGCTTACACAATGAATTTAGTTTGATTTCGAACTTCGTTGTCTAAAATGTTGAGGTAAACTGCAAAATGTCTCTGAAATAGTTTTGAATTGTCTCATTTCCAACTTCTTTTACGCCTTTTTCCAAACGATTCATGTGAAGTCTAGTGGCAATATTAGTTTCATCTGTTGATTATAATTTATCCACCATTGTTCTAAAATATTGAGAAAGATCATTTTATCGCATACTTTAACTAAAAACGTTCCCTTACAGAGTAAGAAGAATGGGAATTTATTGAAGATTTAAATGCACTAGACGTGGCCCGTGGGTTAATGTTATTCACACCGTTATCAAGGGAGATGATAAGTTTTGACTGACTTATTGTTATGACGTGAGAGAGAAAGGGCTGATTGGAGGTTAGTGAGCGCGAATTATCGATCGGACCAAAGACGCGCAAACACGTAAGAACGGCATAGGGTTCTGATTGGTCCCACTTCCCTGTCTAGCCCGGCCAGTTGAGTCCAGAACGCAAGTCTCAGCCTCAGTGATATGAATCGTTATATTTCAAACATACCCTGTTTATATACCAATCAAACAGACCACATCGTACCATAAAATAGAAAACAACATTTGTACAATATTTGACAAGTGAAATAAACATTGACCAATAAGAGTGTCCATTTAAATTCCAAGGACACCATTAGACTTAATAATTATTGGGCTATTTTTCTGAATATCCCAACACTTATTTTGGTAAATTGAATAGGCTTTATTTTCAAGAAATAAAGATTGTTGTTGTTGTTATTGTTGTACTCTGTTACACCAGCTAAACTTTGGAAATGATAACCAAAAAATACTTGCAGAAATGAAACATAATAACTTTTGCTGATAAGCCTTGAACTAATGAACTGACAGACTGGCTTGGAAATAAGAATCGGACGTCACAAGAGATACCACATAACTCGAATATTATTCTAGCCGCAAAAAGTGCTCAATTCTCATCTCAAAGAAAGTACACAACTACCTTCTTTAGTGATAAACCGGTTAAGTTGCAAGTGGATACGGGGTCTGACAAAACATTAATTTCTAGAGAGACTTTGCTAAAACTTGGTTGACCTCAATTTCAGCTTACATACTATAATGCTAAGAATACCACAGGAACTAATATTACTGTACTTGGGGAAATGCAGCTACCTCTCACATTGGGTGATAAGACTAACGCCGGCAAATGTTATATTTCTGGAAACTGTTATACTAACACATTAGGTATTGATTGGATAGATAAATTTGATTTTTGGTGTCTACCGTTGAGTACACCGAAAGTAGAAGCCCAGCCATGGCCAGAGACGAACAAGTCTTGGGTTCGAGTACACCTCGATTATGCTGGACCAATAAACGGGCAATAAGTTTTGGTGGTGGTGGTGGACTCATACTCCAAATGGCCTGAAATCTATGCTGTATGAACACCGTCTACATCTGAAACACTGTTACATCTCAGACAACTATTTGGTAGGTTTGGAACGCCTAATGTTTTGGTCTTAGATAACGGAACGCAACTTATGTTGTCAGAGTTTGCGGAGTTCCGCGAAAAAAATGGAGTCGAACATATTAGAACTACGAGCGTTATAATAAGTATGTTGATCGAAATATTGCTCATAATAAGAGGAAGATGAATATATATACTAGCTACTTAATAGTTTTACAATGTGAATATATGTATGATATTTGTCCATGAATAGATCACAGACGTTTCCTTTGATTTATTCTTCACTGTGATATAACAAAACGTTACTTATTATGATTCTTTTCAACATTAATACTATTCTTATCTTAAGTAGTCTACTACTTAATTCTTCATTCAACCTTTCCACTGAATATTTTATTTTTGTATACATCAGGCTGTAATAGGAAGAAATACGTGGAAGAATTAGCAAGGACGGCGGAAAAAGCTGCAAGAGAAGAAAATATGAAACAGGTTTACGATACAACGAAGTAACTAGTAGGGAAATACAGTAAACCAGAGAGACCGGTCAAAGACAAAGAAGGCAAGCCAATCACTGGAATTCAACAACAGCGGAACAGATTGGTAGAATACTTCGAGGAACTCCTGAATAGGCCGGCTCCAATGAATCCACCGGACATCGAAGCAGCATACACAGATCTTCCTATAGATGTCAATCCACCAACTACGGAAGAAATCAGAATGGCCATCAGACAAATAAAGAACGGGAAATCAGCAGGACCTGACAATATACCAGCTGAAGTACTGAAGTCAGACATCGAAGTATCCACAAGCATGCTTTACCTTCTATTCAAAAAGATTTAGGAGGAGGAAAAAGTGCCGATGGACTGGAAAGAAGGACACCTCGTCAAGATTCCAAAGAAAGGAGATCTGGACAAATGTGAAAACTACAGAGGCATTACACTACTGTCAGTACCAGGGAAAGTCTTTGACATCATCAAACATGTACAAGTATTTAAAAGTAGCTGTCTACGCAAGATACTCAACATCCATTGGCCGGATACTATCAGTAACAGCCTTCTGTGGGAGAGAACAAGTCAACTTCCAGATGAAGAGGAAATTATGAAGGGATGATGGAAATGGATAGGACATACATTACGCAAATCATCAAACTGCATCACGATGCAAGCCCTAACTTGGAATCCTGAAGGGAAGTGGAAAAGAGGAAGGTCAAGGAACACATTACGTCGGGAAATAGAAGCAGATATGAAAAGGATGAATAGGAACTTGAAGGAGCTGGAAAGGATTGCCCAGGACGGGGTTGGATGGAGAATGCTAGTGAGCGGCCTATGCTCCTTCACGAGGAGTAACAGGCGTAAATAAGTAAGTAAGTAAGGCTGTAATACATAGACACTTGATGTAAATTAACAATATGGGGTACTCATAATATTTGTTATTTTGACGGAATATTGTATTAATTATCAATAGTTGTTCATAATTGATTCTTCGACAGATGTCTTCTCTGTAAACAAACAGAAGTTAGAGTGTAGATTACATTTTTCAATAAAACAAGTAGAAATAAATTGCACCAACCAACAAGTATTCTAACTCTATTCATTAACTTCAAAAAACTGGTTTACACTAGCTGATAAAGAAATGGAAATTATAGACTGACAATTATTTATTATGTCTTGAACTCCCCATCACAATAACCTGTGATTTGTTTGTGATTTATATTGTGGCAAATTAAAAGGTGAAATAAGTATGAGGTTACTGTAAATTCGGATTAGATATTTTATATAATTTGACAATAGTTTGAGTGAATGTTTGGTATGCACTTGAGGAGATTGGAAGAATCAAAGGAGTACTGGACAACCGTTTCATCCTATTTAGGGGCTTTATAGCAATATACATCCACGACTGCAAGAGAAACATTTCACAGTGAGTATAGCCCTTCCAAATCCCTGAATCAGAATCAATTTGTCTACATTTTGTGAAATGGCGAGACATCAGTTAGCTCACACCCGATTTGTTTGACTGTACAATTCACAGCTTCCCATTATGACTTTGAGAAATACATCACGAAGCTAGTCAATAACAAGCGTATGACCATTAATTAGATAGATGTTTTGTATAAACTTCTTTGATATAAACATAGTTTCTATGACTCATCGTCCCATATTCTCAACAAGAATGCCTCGTGGTCCCATCCAATAATTCATTATGAATCAGAAGCATACTATGACAACTTATGAGGTTAGATCTGCAAGTTTCAAGGCATTAGTTCTTTGAGAAAATATTAACGGTATATAATCCTGATAACGTAATGAGAAGATGAATCAATATTACCAAAAATAACCTCCTGGTAATCATAAGGAATTAAATTTCAGGAATTATCCACCTGTTGTTTTCGAATTTGCATCCTTTAAGTTGCACGGATCATACGTTGAAATTTATTTACTAGACCGATTACTAAATACCCATTTATGATAGAAAATTTCATAATGATCTTTACTTTTATTTCTGAATAATGAGTAAACAGAATAGCAAAACTATAATTACTAGTCATGTTTATTTATGCAGCTTTTCTATGTTAATGTTAAACATAATAATTTCAAAATTGGTGCATATTTATCACTACAATATATAAATTTGTGTGTACTACAAAAAGACCTACTGTAGATGACTTATTTTTAAATTATAATCATGAATTGTAATATGAAGTTTGAATCACATAATTAAATCATCATTTATTCTAAATTGGATTCGGTTTGATTTTCAGCTGTGATGACTGTAGCGTCGAATGCTGCCGAAGCTCTTCTATGTCCAGCATATCTTAACTGTTTCAATGTAGGATTACGAGATAAGTCTAATTTCGGTTTAGGTATTTCATCTTTCGGATGTGTGAAGCGTCTCAATAAGGATGGATGACCATCAGAAGAATTTTTTGATTTGGGATGAAGTTTCTCTTTCTTTAATGAATATTTATGCCATTTTATTTCAATGATTAAAACAATTAGGCTTGTTACAACGAATACAGAAAGTACAATAAAAGCACCAGATATATTGTACAATGTAATTAAATTGAAAGTGGCTGTATTTGAGGTACTTTTTACTTTTTCAACATTCCATTTCTCAAGTAAGTGATCAATAACTCCTCTTTCTCGAAGAATTGACATACTAAATCAAAAAACAATAAAATTTTTAAATAACTATTGTTAAATAAATTATTAAAGTATGTTAACAGAGTGAATAGTTTAGCTATGAAATGTTATGATAAAATATTGTTAATTTATCTGCGAACAATTTATGGACTGATACTTCAAATATTCATTTAGGAACCAATAATAACATGTAAGTCAATGTTAGTTACTTTTTAGTAATATTACGTTTCATTATGAAAGGAAAATTATTCCATTGTATTGTACTTTATCAATATCTGTTGATGAAAACTTATCTCAGAATGGTTCAGTCAATTTGTAACTACAATTATTCTAGGAAGCATAGTGAATCAAATTTTAGTATGAGTGAACTATTATGAGTAAGTGAAACAATAATCTAATCCATATCACTACCCTTATGTTACTTTCTGAGTTACTACGGTCACCTTTGTACACACATTAATTGTAGGGATATATCTTTGAATCATACAATTATCAATGAAATATAAGTTTTTATCGCTCTATAGCTAAGTTGAACAAAAGTTACGAATGGGTATGGTGACTTAATAAGGCTTTAGATAATAATGAAAATGCTGTCATATAGAATAACTTACAAATTAAGCATTAGTGGAGCGTATTCTTCACCTAACCTTACAGCGAATCCAAATGGTACTATAACTTTCTTATCATCAACAACTGTCAAAGTTTCCTCATTGTCAGGTAAATTATGCATTAATTGTATTCTGTCATCTAGTACAACATTTTTAGTACTGTTGCGGACGTACGCTATACTATCATTAATGTTTTTAAGGATAACTGGATTTTTCATAATTTTTTCATATACTATTGAGTAATATTCATTGGAAGTTGCACTCTGAAAGACAAAAATGTTTACGAAAAGAGGTACATACCAAATGTACTATTGTTAATACAACATAATCAACAGTTAACCAGAGGAAAATGCACACTCATCAATAAAGTACATTTACTTTTTATCTTCTCATAATATGAAATCACCGTTTTCTCCTTTATTATTGGCTACGAGTTAAATTTAGGACCCATATTTACTTCCTATTTGGTGTTTACCGGGATCTCAGTGTTGATATCTACACTTGAATTCAATCGCGGTACTTATCGCTTTAAACTCCAGAGCATTATCTACCAGGCTATCAAGATGCGATAGCCGCAAACAAGTATGGTATTGGGATATTCCAACAGGGACTGATCACATTTAGTCGTTAATAACAACAAAGAGAAATCACAAACCTTGACAAATCGTATTCATTTTCACTTCTCAGAATAAAGGTTACGGTTCATTTTAAGATATATACACAACCTGTCATTGTTGTTGGAATTGCAATTATTTCTGAATACTGTGTAATGAGTGATTAATTAGTATCAAGACAAGCAACTGAAATACAAGTGAAGGTCACGAGTCGGTTTAAGCTAGATTACCACCGAAAAACTGAAGGCACGAGATGGACGTTTCATTCTAGTGTCGAACTCCTCAGCCGGGCACATCCACAATTCTGCATGTTGGACTCGAGCCCAACACCTTCAGTTTCGCAAGCGACCGTTTAACCTCCGGACTCTGAGTCCGAGTTCCCATGCGGGATCATGGATGTGTGCTTCTGAGGAGTCCCATACTAGGACGAACAAGTGTCCAGTGCTTCTAGGTTTTCAGTTGTGGTCTAGCTTTGATCGACCCGTAATTTCAACTCTCAAATGCTAAAATCCGTATACTTATAAGATAACAAACTAAAATCACTATTATATATTATCACTATTAAAACATAAACGGTCAATAAAACAAGTTATGAATAAGTTAGATCTTTAGAAAACGTATTTTTTTAAACTTCGACGAATTACGACGACCTGTTATTCTGTATGTGATAACTTCAATTTGATGACACACAAATTTGCTTCTGTCTGGTTTGAAGTATACCATAAAAAGAAACAATAAATATTAGGTTACCCGAAAATATGTTAAAAAGAAACAAACCTGTATCATTTTTACTGTACCACTGTTTTTAATAGCTCCCAATGATAATCCTGAAGTTGCAAGATCTTCTAACGACGATACAGGCATTTGTATTGTATTCCTAGTTAAAAAAGCTGTCAAATCAGCCTGCCAAGTGGCTTGAATCACCAAAACTAAAAGCCAATAAAGAAGTGTTACTGTCCTTGCAGAGCAAGCGATGGCACGCAGTTCTTGTCCTAAAACATTTAATTAATAAATCATTTCATAAGACATTTTTAATAGTAGTTTATTTTAAATACCAACCAAAATACTTTTATAAGTAAAGATAGATGGTGGTTAGCAGTAGAATTCAGGACGTATATTTCATCTTATTTGAGACTCGTAAGCTGGATTTACGTGCTTCCTAGAATTAATAATCACTCCGTAACTCGAACCCAGTATTGTTCGCTTCACATGTCATCGCGTTTTCCACTTAGCTGCCGGGTCCTGATAGGCACTAGATTGTGCAAAATACTTTTAGATAACCCATAAAGATTTACTGAGTTATTCCGATTCAGTAAAATGTGGTGGATTTTGCTGCTTGATAATCTTATAGATTTTTAAATAATAATTAGCCTTCAAAGGAGTTCTCATCTAGTATGAATTTTCATTGTCTCAAATAATACGCGAGATAACCAAATTCAATGGGTGCTTACAATAAAAAATAAGATCTTAAGATCTATTATTGGTTGAAGATTATCCATAAATTTGATAAACTTAGGTCACTGAATCAAAATAGAATTCAGTATAGAAATTCTTCAAGTAATATCATTTGTTCGCGCTCGAGACCGATAGGTTATGGGTTCGAACCTTGCTAGGCGGGATCGTGGATGCGCACTGCTGAGGAGTCACACAATAGGACGAAACGGCTGTTCAGTGCTTCCAAGTGTTCCATGGTGGTTTAGCTTCAATAGAATCATGATCTCAACTATTAGACTTACTATAATATACACAAAACCCCCTTCTAATATCGTTTGTATTTATAGTTAGTGGATAAATATATGAGCCAATAGAAGTATGGAAGAGATTACACAATACAGTGATTCAACATTACAAATATCAAATGACGTTAAGTAATAATCAAGGGGTTACAGAAGAATAGAAATAATTGTCCACTGAAATGAAAAGCATAGAGGTCATAATAACAAATGAAGAATAATCATAAGAAACTGTTGGACAATAACGATAACTGATTACAACTAAAATGACACTAAACTACTATCACAAACTGAAACAAGATCAAAACATAGTGGAGACGGGCATTAGGATGATGGTAGAATGAGAGATTGGATGTATCGTTTTTGCACACAGAGTTCAGACTCGAATTGGTGGATTGTCAACACCTCATCAGTGCTGTTTTTGATGCGACCTCTCTTTAATCTATTTTATTTCTTTTGTAGCTGTGTAGATTATTTTGAATGATGATTCTTTTTGAGCAACTTGTTGAGAGTTGATCAGGTTCTCCTATATTGATCTTGTTTTGAAATGTCGGATCACTGTATTGTGTAATCTCTTCCATACTCCTATCGACTCATATATTTATCAATCAATTATAAATAAAAATGTATAGCTTAAATAAATGATATTTTCGAAAAGAAAGATGTTTTTAGGACACCTTACTTAGTATGATATAAAAATCTGTTCATTGTAACTCTATTAGTCTATTTTATATAAGTCATATTGAATTATTATTGAATATTTTGAGATGATAAATCTGTGAAGTCAACTTTCTACATTTTAAACTTACCTTGCATAAGCATACCACCAACTGTGAACCAAACACTGTGGTATATTGAAACCTCATCAGAAGTAGCACCTGGCAAAGCCAAATTCCATGCACTGAATGGACTGATTATACTAAATATTGTTATTAGGAAAGCTGCTATAAATATTGAACCAATTAAACATAACCAAATATCATAACGAAACGGTAGAAACATTTGAAATAATTCTTCATTTTGTTCGGGAATATTTAATAAAATCCCTAGAGTATCTTCCATAAATGGTCCAATAAAGAAAAGATCTTGTGATCTTTCTTTATTTATTGTTAATGGTGCAGCTATAATATCAGTTCTCTAAAAATTAAAAATAAAAATATCCCATTTGAGAAATTAATGTTAATCAGTAACTACAAAGAATAAATTGATTTATATATTGTTTGCTTGGATCTTCCCATTGATGTTTAGGACTGCAATTGGTCAGTCGACTAAACCATCCAGCTCACACAACGAAACTCCATCAGGGTTGAAGTTCTTATGTCGAATGAATAACTACAAACGTATATTGAAACTAGATCAAAGTTAGTAATAATCCTGATTTAACAGACAAAACATACATTAATTGTGTTTAAACTAAAGAAATGAGCAGCATATTTTAAAAAGGTAGAGCTTACAAGATATCAGTTCAACTTATTACAGGCTAAATTTCAACCGGTGAAACTTCTAAATATAAGTAATTAGCTCATGGAACTGGAGTAAAATCTATATAATAATTAATCAGTAAAACAAGTTGCCTAATGTTTTGATTTAATTGACTGTTGTTTTACTTATAAATGATGCTCAGATTTCCATAAAAAACATTCAAGTAATTGAAAATGGTAATTCCAAAATTGATTGTCTTGTATAAATTTCGTTTGTCTTATTTATCTACTTTAACCCGTTATCGAAATCGTATTAGAAGCAAAAACAAACATTACAAAAGTAGTTTTTTAAGTTTACGATTTGAGTAAAATATTGATTTACCGCACTTCAGTGGTTACCTTCAATCGCAGTGTGTTGTGATATCCAGTCATTTAGCCTAATAACTGAGTGGTATTATGTTTTAGATAGATATTGATGGGTATTGACTTGCAAAGTAAAGCGTTACTTTCTTTTTAATCAATAAGTACTCTAAAAACTCAACTTAGTATGTTGGAAGTTTTCACCGTGGAATGCTTAATTCCTTCTTAGAAGCTCGAATTCGCTGAGAGAGCTGAAGGCTCTGACTTCTATTCTATGCCGAGCTGAGTGTGCAAAATACTATGAATTGGACGGTTAAGCAGTACTGTGCGATTTTCAATGGTGAAAATACTGACCTATTTACGCGTAAACGGCTAAATTTATATCACAAGATGCTGAGCAAATGGAGTAATTAGTCAAGATTATAAACATTATAGATCTTTATATCCAAATTCCACTATGATAAACGATTGGTAACAACGCCTGTTTTAATTAATTAAGATTTTTAATACTTACTCCAGCTAGTAATTCACCAATCATACCATTCCATGTTGTATTTGTAATTTTCACTCCATATTCTCCGTCAGGTGGGAGGAAAAGTCGGTAACTTGATTCAAAAAAATAATAACTAGGATGAATATAAAAATATTTTTGAAGAAATTTACTCTGAGTTCAATTTCATTTAATTAAGGTGACCTTTAACAGACCTGGGAAAAAGACTAGTCTGGCTTCATTTTACTGACATTAATTAGTAAACTATTACAACCTGGAGTGAACTGGATAAATGTTTAGTTCAAGATTGTAACATCTGATATCAGTCAACGATGAAGACTATTCTCTTCTGGTTACACAAGTTTTCACAAACCAATTAACTGAATATAGTTTAATCAACAAAATTTGATTAGTTTATGATTATGGATTTTCAGTTAAATATGTATGTAACTAATAGTTTTATATTAAAGTAATGAAGTAATATTTATTCAAGTCGGACAATCCCAAAATCTTAACGTGTTGTCAAATACATTTCATCTAAAGAAGAAGAAAAAAAACGATCGAACTAACCGAAATTGAAGTCGAAGTGAAAATTCATTTAATATATCTATAATTAAACCCTCTGCATTGAGTAATTCATTGTCTTTAGTTATTTGACCACGTACAATGTATGGTGGATCCTATAAATGGAAATATACAAGTTAATTCACAAAATTTATTACATATTGATTGAAATAAATAAAATCATATAATCCTTCATTTTTCGATTGATGTGGATCTGTTGCTCAATTTTGTGGATTAGTTGAAGTTATGCATTAACACCGTTGGATGCCGGCTCAGTGGTCTGCTTGGTTAAGCACCTGGCGTGAGACTGATAGATCCTGGGTTCGAATCCCGCGAGGCGGGGTCGTGGATGCGCGCTACTGGGGAGTCCCACAATAGGACGAAATGGCCGTCCAGTGCTTCCAGGTTTTCCATGATGGTCTAGCTTCAACCGATTCATGATCTCAACTGTTGAGATTTTTGTTTAGTCTGATATCTTATTCACTTGCTCTTATGCTTAAATTGGCTAACTTAGATAATTTACATAAGGAATTATCTGTGAAGTTATTATGTTTACTGAAATTGAAAAGTGTCATTTATTACATCTAATTCACCATTCCATTCCAAATTTTCTATTGTGAACAATTACAAGACTATGAAATAGTAGAAAAACGATAATCATCAACAAGAAGATCGATGTAATATCTGACCTCATTGTAAATAGTAAATCAAATTATGAATTTTACAACATAATATGTAATTCAGTTATTTGGTGAGACTATAATTTATGGATGACCTTTGAGCAACGCAAAAATGACCTTGCAAATATCCACCTACTAACTAGGACTAAATGAGGGTTATAAACCAATGTGAGGTATTAGAATTGTGATTTACTGTTAATGATTAGAGTTTTCATCACTAAGTGACATTAGTTATAAAGCCGAAATAATATTCAGCCAAATGAACGGATAAATTTCGTTCTAAAATTCAAGATCTATTATTTTAAATCTGACTGATTCGTTCATAAATTATAGTCTCACCAGTTATTTAGTCACTTGTAAGATGGGCATTTCCTAATAATTGTAAATCATGACAACTTATATCGAACAATGAAAAACTATTATAATCTAAAAAGAAGTAATCAGATACTATTTATAAAATGAAAAAGAAAAAAACAATTAGATATAAATTACAAATTTCTATAAAACTCACAAATGATGTTGAAATATTGATGGTTTTATTTTGAAATGTACGAAATGTATTTGGAAATAAACCGCTTAATAGACCTTGTTTTGCTACAAATTTTGCATATTCACTTAATTGAATATCACCATTTTCTGAGAAATTTCCAGTTAATAAAAATTTACTCTTTCCTTCTACATCTGTTTCCAATGAATAGAATAATAAATTTTTCCATTTTGGTAATTCTGCTAGCTAAATTTAATATAATGAATGTGAAAATAAATAGAAATAATTGATGATATGATTTACAATTTATTGAAAGTATGTATGTGTGCTTAACGGTTCATTCGTAAGTTTTGATTGTCTACTTCTAAAATAGTTAAGGTGAGAACAAACTGTTTTGCAATACACAGAGACGGTTTGAATTTTCGTATGGCTAAGGTTTCAATAAACCTTAGTATACGCCCTTTTACACTTTTGTACAACATTACAAAATCCGAGTTAAGTTCAATCTTATGACCTGTTTCAATTATGTGTTTGGCGATAGAGGATGATGGATGTTTATCCTCTAATCTTATAGGAATATTCGATTCTATTTGTTTTTGCAATCATTTAGGTACATGTTCACCCACCTTAATTTTGAGATCATGATTATTCCTCCTTATGTATGTGTGACCCCACACACACACATATATATACATTTGAATTCGTAAACACAATGCAATGTGACGTATTCGTTTTCTTTTCTTTTAGGTTTTCGATGAAGTATGAACCTTGTTGTTTTATTGATAATGACCTTTGCTGCACAATATGTCTTGTTAACGACATGATTTAAGCCTTTGTTTCAATAAAAGGTTATTTGAATCACCTCTTAATGGTAAGGTGATGTAGACAGGCTTTTTTCCGCCAAAGCTATAGTAGGTCTCACTGCACCATGAACTTTCTCACCTTAAACCTACCCTGGTAATATTAGCTTATTATCCAGAGTCGTGATGTTCCAAATTATTTTCACATTATTTCTTCATTATCCTTGTCGCCTCTTACCCTCCATTTCTAGTCATTTTTAAATATTGAGGTTCATATTTATAATAGATCGAAATGTCATTGAAAAAGGATTATCCTAATCAGAAAGTATCACTTATGAAAGATTGAATTAAAGTCATCGAATTGCTTACTATTTGCCATATTAAGAGATTGTAATCAGTTGTGAGTTACAGGAAATGTGTTTCTCTTTTTTTACCCCTAGTCTAAATGTACTTCGAATGGTATCAGAGTGATTAAATGAAAATTAATCAAAAAAAGAACAAGTGCTTATAGATTTTCATGTTAGTTTGTTGGAGGCATTAGAAAATAAACAGTTTCATGCCAGCTCATATTTTTTATACAACAATTGCCTATAATCTTGAAACAACTTGCTGTCCCCCTTACAATTATTGTCTAGCGTTTTTGAAATACATCATTCCAATATATTTAACATTTACATGTTAACATAAAGAAACAAACTTGACCTTTATTTTGGTTTTACTGTCTCTCTCGTTATATATAAACCAGGGTAAAACCCTTGAGTAAAAATATTTACTTAAAATGAATACATGAAAATCATACTGTATACTAACTATGATTCTGTATATTGTTTAACGACTTTCAAGTATTCATCACCTAAATCTTAATTTCGTTTACAATAATTGAAAATCATACTGCTTGCCAATGGGTAGTTTTCATTGAAATAATACATTGTAAACGTCATCTTGTGACTGATCACATCAATGATATAAAATGTATTAAAAATCAATAGATACTTATTTACACTAATAAGAAGGCGATAAAACAATTGACCATATGGTCTAGGCTGAAACGAAGGAGCATCACAATCTGAAATAGATGGAATATCCCAAAAGTCTATTGAAAGACTTTTCATTAAAATTGTAGCTTGACTCGATAATAATATCATGTAAACAGCTTCCAATTCACGCTCCTGAAATTTAGAAAAAGAAAGCCTTGACGTTCAGTAAAAGAAACATTCTTTTACTAAGCTTGATAGTAAAAAAACAGCTAAAGTTAATTGATAGGTTTGTTCTACTCATACGATATCAAACAGTGTTTATGTGGAATCTAAGCAACAAGTTGATAATTCCAACATTTAGTTACGGATTTACAGAAACAATTTTTGCACAAGTGTGAAAAATAACTAGCATCTATTAGATATGATTATTAATATTATGATTCAGTATCGTATCACTTAGTACAAGTATCAGTCAAAACACATGTCGAAATGGGAATGAAATTTGCTTACGAGTTGCAAGTGAAACGATATGACTTTCTACTGAGACTACATATTATGGACGACCTGGAGAATGCCCGCCTAATTAATAGGGCTAAATGAGGATTATAAACCTATGTGAGGAATTAGGATTATGATTTACAGTTGATGGTTAAGGTTAGGTATTAAATTTTTTTATCCAATGACACATTGGGATCTTCAACATATATCAACTTGTGATGAAAATAATCTTTAAATCAACTGTATGATAATCGTTGTTCTCTAAACTGAACAATTAGACAGTTATCTAGAATTAGATAAGATACTGAGTGCATGATTCAACTGAATTTCAACTGGTTTTGTATTTTTGTTCATTCTAAAAATTATTCCAATATGTGACTTCAGACATATATAAATTTGAAGTTTAATTTTCTCTTCATGTTTATGAGTTCATATATTACGTACCTTAACTTTCAGTCAATTATTTCTTAATAGTAAATTATTCGTTATTTGGTATCGATTATTGTTAATGATTATCTTCGGCGAGACTATAATTTATGGACGAACCAATCAGATATAAGATCGGATTTCGGTGCGAAATTCACCCATCTATTTGGATAAATAGAGTTTGGCATTATAGCTGATATCAGTTCGTGATGAAAACCCTAAATGTAACTCCCAACTCTAACTATCAACTGTAAATGATAATTCTAATTCCTCACACTGATTTGTAACCCTTTTTTGGTCCTAATTATTAGGTGAAGACTCTCAAGGTCACTTTAACGTCGCTCGAAGGTCGTCCAGAAATTATGGTTTCACCATGATCTTCAAAAAAAGTAACTATTTTTCAACTTACAGTTATATTATTTGTATTACATTGAAATATTTCACTCATTAATAATCTCATATTCTCACCAACATTCAGATTTAAACAGTCTTCTTCATTTAAAATTGGAAATTGTCGAAAAAATCCTGTTGCAACTTGTTCAAACTGATTGGTCGTAGCTACACGAATTAATTCATTTGGTGTAATTGTCAATGTGGTTGGTAATATCCAGTAGAGATTACGAAAAGTAAATCTGTCTTGATATATCTATGACGATAAGTAAAAGATAGCAGTTATAATCGTTATTGAATTGTATCAGTCCAAAATAATAAAACAGTATACAGGTGATTTTAGTTGTATTGAGGGTGGATCAGTATACCTGTAGTGAATGAACACTCAGGTGGGGACAACCAATGTGAAAACCATACGTTCGATAATTCATTTACATATCCTCCATCAATTGTCTCAAACTTCATCGTTCCTTCATTGTCATAACAATCTGTTCCTGTTCTCATCAATTCGATCTTCCAACCTTTTGTTGCTAAGCCTTCCACTTCTGATTGATGTTACATACTACTTACGCCTGTCGATATGTTACCTACACCGCATACCTATTGCCAAAATCGAGCGTAGTTATCACATTATGAAATTAAAGTTAGAGTGTAGTAGTGATTTAAAGTAGACAATAATGGTAACAATATGTACAACTAATTAGTTAAAATAAAGAAATTTAAATATTTAGATGAGTCTAATGTTCGTTAGAGATGAATATCGAGAAGGGTTTACTTGAATTTATTCAAAACCAGTATTATTAACTCCATATTGATCTACCTTCGTTCTACAGATTTCATGATGATAAGAAGCTTTAGTGGATGCAACTGGTTTTCAATTATAAATAGAATTTTTTAACTGTATACATCATTAACTGTCTGGTAACTAACAATCATGATTTTTATTTATGTAAAGTTGAATGAATCTTTTGGATTTACTTCGTTCGAGTACGTTTAGGGTCAATCTTAGTGATTTTTATGTAGTATAAGATTGATTTTAATCAAAAACTAAATTCAGTTAAGGGAAACAGTTGTTCCGTTTTCTGACTTTCATTGAGTCTGTATAGTTTATTCACATTGAATGCCGTCAAAGTGAAATGCATTTAATTACTTTCTAATAGGTTACCGTCTTCATATCTACGAAGAATATAATTAGATTCGAAGAGATATCACATAATTGTATTTTAAAAAGTGTATCTAATTTCATTCTAAATCGAAAGTATGAAATTCGTGAGGACTCTGTCCTAAAATGCAAGAGCCCTGTTTACATTCTCACCTTCAACGCCACATAGAAATTCCCCTTACATCTTTTAAAAGTTAGTGATAGGTATTAACTAACATTTTGATGAATATTAACCAATTAATCCTTTTCATGTTGATTAGAACTGTAGCGACAAATAAATCCCCGAAATAAATAGCTTTGTAAGTCTTCGACAATTTATGCTGACCACATTAGTTTTGATGGACTCACCTAGCTGAATGCACTCGGTCACGCATCCGCACCAGATCACGAGTGGGAACACCGTGCATAACTTCTCCTGCAACCGCTAGCCAGTTTAGATCAGTCAAATATTAATTATATTTTTCAACTTAACTCTAAAATTAAAATATTGGCTATCTTAGATCTTTTGATATGGTTTCACAATTATGGTCAAGCTTCTCAATGAACTTCAACTGACGAATATTATGAAAATAAAAGATTTACTTTTTAAGACTATTTAAATAATCTTAAATAAATTCATCTATAAGTTTTATATGATGGCACCACTTACCATATACAATTGATTTAAATCATGTGGTCTAACTTGAATATGAAATATATGACTTAATAGAAATGATGATGATCTTGATTTCATATTTTGAAAACGTTTCAGTAAAACATCGATTGTATCATAAGTGTTTGATGTGGGATACATAGGATTTGATTGATTAGTAATTGAGAACATTTGAGTTGAAATGTATGGAACAAATTTTTCATCATTCATTTCTGCTTGTAAAATATAATCAAGAGCTATATTTGTCTCCACTAAATAGTATATATAATCCAAATGGTAGATATGTTATGTCATTAAAAATAAAATGTAAATTAATGAATACACTTGCAAACTTAAAACATTAAATATTTTCAATGGTTAGCTAAATATATGTAAATGTATTACAAAACATATCTTAGCCGGTTTTAGATAACTCACCAATTCTAACACTTTATCTATTGAAGCTAGGTAACTGAATAAAGCGTCTTCTAAACTATCAAGATACTGAGTTCAACTTTATAAATACGAATACATTTTAAGAGTTTCTCGTTAAAATCAGGAGATGATAGTATATACTTTTTCATATAGACAATTAAGTAAAAATTTCTTGTTTTAAAATGAGCACTACAGGATTTGAAAATAGCATTGTTATGGATTGTTGTTTGATTATCGACACACACGCCGAGTGATCAGTAGCTGAAATTTTAATTCCAATAATCTTGCACAATAATATGTCGGTTACATAAAATTTGTGTTTAGAAGATCTAATTTAAGACGAGTCCCATTGGGTTGATGTCAACTGATTACAATGAAATCTCAATACAGTTTAAGTTCAACAATATGCAGTATCACAAAATTGATGGATTCGTATTGATAGTCCCTTAGGTTCAAATCTGACTGATATATTTATGGAGAACCTGGAAAAGATTACGCTTAAGCACTTAGTCGATGGAATTACATTTTGTTGTAGATATGTTAGTGACACGTTTCTTGTTTAAAACAATCAGAAACATTCTACATATCTACTCAATCTTTAACAAAACACATAACGATACAAACTTTAATATGGAACATGACTTTAAAGGGAAATTCCATTTCTTAAATAATGGAATAAAACGAACTTCAGGCGACAAGCGACGTAGAAAAATCTTTCGCAAAAACACATGGAGTGGAGTTTATCAAGACTATAACAACTTTTGTACAACAAGTTACAAATAAGGGATTGTACAAACCCTTTAGACCGCGTTCGTAAACTTAGCTCGAAAAAAAGCCAGGAACAAGATTTTGTCTTCATAGAAAAATTGTATACCCATTGGGATATGACAACAAGAAATATATTTATTATTAACGTTCTACCCAATGCTCAACTTATTTAAAACTATCAACTTATTACCGTCATGGCAAATTCACAGTTTTGAACAATATCACCGGTAATAATTCTCTAAACTTAATCAAACTCTTCAGTTCTTGTATAGTTAATACATAACCCTTTACTTCCGAATTCTAGACAATTGCCACAGTTATCAGACAGTTAATCTCGGGTTATATTTCTATGTGTGCGGTTGCGCATCTGCACCTCTAAGGAGTCTCGTACCAAGGTAAAACGGTTGCCCAGTGCTTCCAGGTTTTTAATGCCAGTCTAACTTGGATAGGTTCAGGATTCCGATAAAATTATCACCTCATTGCTCTGAATCTTCTATATCTATTCCCAAGTGATCGTAATCTTGTAAAAACTCCTCAGATCCTCTATAATTATCACACAATCTATCTTATGTTTCCGGACCTCACCTGCCCCTCCTATGGTTTTTGAACTCCATCTCTAAATGACCTCACACATGTTCTTACGCATATATATATTCATTATTGGTAATGTTTGTTATTTAAATTCTTTATGTTATCAATGTCGATCACCTCATATTATATCATATCACTTAAATACAAATATGGTTGTAAGCAGCTTACGAGAAACCACGAAATATGGTGAATCCATATTATTCTTCCACAATTGTTTTTCTGCCTTTACTTAAAGCCGTAATGAGAACCAATTACATAAAATAGTAAATACTTCTCCTTATTATTTTGCTGTTATTTTTAAACATGATCAGTTCCATATCAAAAGTGCAAAACAGGATAAATTGCTTTCATAATACACAGAGAGTATATTATCGGTCTTATGAAATTTGACAAGTTTACTTTTGCACTATCACTTACGGTTCGGTTTGTCGGCTAGTAATAATGCTTGTGAAGCACGTTCAATTTCGCTCATTTCATATATCGCTCTACCAGTCTGTTCAGGTGTTGGTTGAATCCATATTGTTGTTGTCGTCATTTTAACATTTGATAAATTAATTATTTCTCTGGAACATGCTGGTCTAGGTATAGCAATATGTGGTATTCTGTATGGTGTAATTTGTGCTTCTATTAACTGTGCAAGGGTACATGTTGTTAAACTTATAATCACATGTACATCATTTTCAACAAAATTACACACTATTTAAAATAAATCAATATAAGAAAAATTTAGGAAATATCTTTTAATGTATTAATGATCTGAGTGATACTTGGTTTAATAAATAGAAAACGTTCAAAGATCAAACTATTGTCTACTCTGTGCTATATCAAAAGCGTAAAATGTGACACTGAAGTTTCCTTCTAATTATCAAATGAGTTTAAAAATTAATGTTAAGAAATAAAGTGGCCATAAAATTGTGGGGATAAATTTTATCTAATACACTGAATAGTAGTGGAATTCCTGAACACGTTGAAACACTCACGAGTAAAACATCATGCAACAAAATTTATAGAGCAACTAATTGAGCTAATTACTGTTTATCAAATGGAGTCGATTCATCATCTTATAGAAACTTATATCCATCATATCACTTAAAATAAAAGCCTCATTTATTACATCGTTTGGTCCAGAGAATAATGAAAAGCATATTATTACTATTCGAAAATCCTTCAACTTGTCTAATTGCGACCTACACGTGATCGAACCTATGACCTTCAGGTCTCACCACAATCAACAGATTGCCAAACCATTAGACTAAAATCTCTTGGTCTCTATATATACAACTTATTCAATTCACTATATAATATTACTTACTTAATTACTTACTTACGCCTGTTACTCCTTGTGAAGGAGCATTGGCCACTCACCAGCATTCTCTATCCAACCCTGTTCTCGGTTGTTATTCATCCTTTTCATATCTGATTCTATTTCCCGACGCAGTGTGTTCTTTGACCATCCTCTTTTCCACTTCCCTTCAGGATTCCAAGTTAGGGCTTGCATCGTGATGCAGTTTGATGATTTGCTCAATGTATGTCCTATCCATTTCCCTCGTCTTTTACTAATTTCTTCTTCAGATGGAAGTTGACTTGTTCTTTCCCACAGAAGGCTGTTACTGATGGTATCCGGCCAATGAATGTTGAGTATCCTGCGTAGACAACTATTTATAAATACTTGTAGCTTCTTGATGGTGGTTGTTGTAGTTCTCCAAGTTTCAGCTCCATACCGTAGAACTGCCTTGACGTTCGTATTGAAGATTCTCACTTTGATATTGGTTGATAGACGGTTGTTTTGAGTTCCATATGTTCTTCAATTGTAGGAATGTGGACCTTGCTTTGCCAATCCTCGCCTTTATGTCTGCATCTGAACCTCCTTGTTCATCGATGATGCTTTTCAGGTATATGAGGGATTCTACATCTTCCAGAGTTTTACCATCAAGAATGATTGGATTGGTGTTCTCCGTTTTGAATTTGAGGTCCTTGGTTTTTCTCTTGTGCTGGTTCAAGTTGTCATACTATATAATGTAACAAATACCAAATATCACTTCTAGGTATGTGTTTCACTTTCGATGTGTTTGATTTTAACAATTCATAACTTGTCACTAGAAGTCATTAATACGTTCTCTTGAATTCGTTGTATAGTTGGAACATGATTACTGCTTAGTTAAGTATTTTTTGAAATTTATTACCTATAACCGTCTGATTATATATGATGAAGGATTAATAATATATAATGCAAATTATTAGAGTACATTTCATTCAGAAATGCATAGATCATCATACTAAATTAGTGAGTTGAATGAAAGCATTTTGGTAATTTATGTATTCTACCTTTGATTTTACGCTTATGGTGACAATAAATGTTAGCAAATTATTATAAATCGACTTGTACTTAATCCTTTCATATTGTACTAATGATAATGGAAAATGTTTTCTTATCTAATTACTGGAAACGAGATCATTCTAATTTTGGCTTAGAATATATAATTGAGTTTAAAGATTATGAACAACGTTTTCCTAATCTAAATTTATAATGAACACATATTGACCAATTTGATCTATCTCTTCTGTACCAACAAAATCTGGAACACTAAAAATAAACGTCACTCTAATGTTAATTGTAATTAATTTATAGTAGCGAACCAAAGTACCAAAAGTGTAATGATGGCACCTTAAGTGATCTAATCCAACTTCAACTGGTAAGCAATCATACATAAATAAATATGACTGGTATCTGTAAGAATAAAGCATTTTATTTATGAATAGATTTAAATAGAATTGTGTGCGATTCATAAGAGAATCAATGAGTTACACATTCAAATAAGTAAGTAAGTAAGTAAGTAAGACTAGAGAAGAACACAAATAATTTACAGTATGACTGAGAGCCAGTTAAAACAATTAATTAATCATTACAGAAGTATGGTCTGTAAATGAATCATAATGTATAAACTTCTTTATCGTACTATAATTCAGAAAACAGCACAGCATATAAATGAATTAAGATAATGTTTGGAAGTAGTCGACAGGACATTTTATATCTCAGCATAGTGCACAAGACATTGAGTTAGGTAGACTAGTAACCACATGGCAATTCGATCGAACAGAATTCGATCAGCACTAAAAAAGCTTGGCATACATGACATTGGCCACTACTTAATGATTAATCATTTATAAATAGAAATACTTAAATATACATTAAATTACTCCATATAATTAATATTATGACTTAAAATTTAAAATACCAGTTTGGGCTTGGAAAGGTTCAACACATGTATCAGTAATAGCACTACTTTACTTAAAATAGCACATTAAACAATTAAATATAAAAGAAATCAAATTATTCAATAAAAGATGCTTACCACTTACCTAAACCAAAAGTAAATTCTCTTATAGTTAACTTTAATTTCGGTGGGCTTGCCAATGAATAATTTCGTATAGGGAAATCTGCATAGTATTCCATTTTTTCCTGTAATTCACTAAATCGGTTGATTAAAGCTTCTCCTGTTATACCTAATTCACTATCATAGATAATACCTATAAATGAAATAAACAAAACGATTACATTTAAAACATACACATATGTGTAATTGTGTTTAACAGTTAAATAATCAAGTTAACACAGATCATGATCGAATTTTAACAATAAATGTTAAACAATAAAGTCCAATAATGTTTGATGAGAGGCAAATCTGTCAGTTGCACATCAAGTTGATATTAAGGTGTTTAAGTTCAATTAGTAAATGACTGTAACATTCATGAATGTATATATAATTTCTGTTCAATATTCAATACCAAATAGATTGAAATTATAAATTATGAAATAAATGTCTAACTATGAGATGGTGGCAAAGATTTGTGACTTAAGTGGATGATTATGGTGGAGTTTTGTTCTCTAAGCTGGATGGTTTGATTGTGGAGCTATCATCGTTATTCTCAATGACATACATCATTAGTACCTAAAGTTTGTGCTGATGGTGTCGTTCAGAATTACAATGATAGCTTCACGATCAAACCATCCAGATCAGAGAACAATACTCCACTAAAATATCTGATCAATTAAGTCATACAGATCACTATCCACTGGATTTGAAAATTAAATTAAAGCTTCTAAACTATTTGTTTAATAATATAATATACATATATCATAAAAATAAACTCAATCTGAATATTGCGTAACTTCAACAATTGGTTAGATATTACATTTGACTTCATATTTCCAAAATAATGAATTTAATCTGTAAACTTATTATTCATATATGTTGGTTATTTAGATTATTTCATTCTTTTTCACAACTGGAATCGATCATTTTCTATTGGTATATGTGCATCTTGTGCGAACTATTCCGATCTCCATCTCTGCTTAAGATCTATAAAAAATTTTTATAACAAACTAAAATCACCTACAAAAGCGTTAAAAACTTGAGAATAGTGGACGAGTGATTTTGAGATATTCAACAAAAGAAACTGAAATCAATATCTCTAGACTATTGACACGTTTTGTATGTCAATATTGATACATATTTGGTTATTAAATAGTTGAGTTCATCAGTCAATTAAAACTAGACCACCATGGGAAATCTGGAAACATTGAACAGCTTTAATTGAATCATGAACTCATCTATTAAATTACTACAATCTCCACAAAAAAACCCTTTCTGATATTTGGATATTGTTATTTTAATCACAGAGCGATTTTGTGGATATTATAGTAATTTAATAGTTGAATTCATTAGTCAATTGAAGCTAGACCATCATGGAAAACCTAAAAGCTCTGGACAGTCATTTCGTCCTATTGTGAAACTCCTCAGTAATGTGCATCCACAATCCCACCTCGTGAGATTCGAATCCAGGACGTATCGGTTTCTGACGCAAACGTTCAATCCCTATTTATTTTGTTGATTCTATTTGATAAATACTTCATTTCTAAAGCTATTTAACAGTAGTTATCTCTGTTATTCGTTGTTCATGACATAGGATTCCTCTGTTAACCACAATCTAAATATTAATAATAGTAACTAATACAATTTGATAACTCCTTAGAAATCAGTACATGGTATTCAAAAGAAATATATTTTCTTAAAAACCATTTTAATAGTTTACATCTTCTTTTAACAGTAGTATTAAAATCCAAAATAAATATTAACAAAAACTTAACAGTTTGCTTATTTAGAAAATTCTATAAGATTCAATAGTGAATATTAATGTGTTTAATTTGAGAGTCTAATAAGTAAATAATAAAACCAATACTATTGTTCACTGACCACTAGTTTCAATCAATTTCTTCCAGTATACTCATCATATATACCTATAGATCATTTCAACTTTTGAGGTACTTCATTTTGATTTAACTATCTAATAACAGTTCTATACTTGAATACTATACTTTAGATGAATAATAATGCTTATTGAAAATACAAATCTTCGATAAGTACAAGTATCAAAGTTATTCATAGATTGAAACTGTACAATTTCAATCAAATCAATCACTAAAATAATATTTTCTTTTCAAATAACTGAAGACATATTACTTTGTATTACATGAATAACATGAATAACTTACCAATATGTAATAGTTTCTGACAAACAACTATATTTATCATCCAAATAACAAATAGTTGATAAGTAAACTGTATCATTTTATGTTAACTTTTTTTTAGATTACATGAAATTCACATTTCTTAACTAATATTATTCGTATTTATATAGATGAAAATCATAATAGTCAAGTATTATTGTCATTCAGGTAACTATAGTTTAAAACAAACAAAAAAAACGAAAAACAAAAAAAAAGAAACAAAAAAGTGAAAAAACAAAAAATTAAAAAATACAAAAAAAAAACATTATTTAAGTCATCACTTTGTAATCTTTTATTTTACTTTCTTAACTCTTTAGTAACCTCATTTAATTTTCTACAAATTCTTTTGTTGCATAATGTAAATCTAACAATAGAAATTAATAGTTTCATTAATTTCTATTAATAAACAACTATTCACCGAATTATATTTTATTTCAGTCAATTACTGACCTTTTATGAATTATTCATTTAACATGAATGAATCTAGTCTATCTAATATTATTTTTGTTTAAATGATTTACAACAATAATAAATATATAATATACATGAATAGTGTTATTATTTATATTAAGTTCTAAACATTAAATTAACCTGAAATAGAATTTTCTAGGACAATGAGAAATGAAAAGAAATCGCATATTACATTCTATAATAAGTTTTAAGGTATTGTGTGAAAGTTGATCCAACATATAGGTGGTATTTGTGGTGAATAGTATAGTTCAGAAATGTTAGGAGTGAAATAAGTGTTAAAAATGCCACAGGTATTTGGAAGTTGACAACGCTTTAACCAGTTACACCTAATATGAGTCGTATCTACAAAGTGAAATCAAAAGACAGAAGCGAGGAGGTTCGAAGATATATTTGATAGGTTATCAATATATCGAGGATCGACTAATCTAGACTGACTAGCGATTGCAGGGGATGTTGAGCATGGTGTTCTCACTGGTGTGGATGCATGACCGAGCGCCTTCAGCTAGGTGAGTCTATTAAAACTAATGTAGTCAGCATCCAATGCCGAAGACTTACAGAGCTATTTATTTTGGAGATTTATTTACCGCTATAATTTCATTATTTGAATTGAATTATTTTTGTGCTTAATATATCTTCCTTATTGAATGCTACTTGTCATATCTGATTGTCGTTGATTGTTATGTCGGAATCGTTTATCAGTTATACTTGTAAAGCGAGGAACCACTACAATTCCCTCGATGCGAAAGTAAGAACACAATGAATGGTATAAGTGAAGATTTATTATCACCATAGCACGATGACGACGACCCTAGTTGGAAATACATTCATTTATGTGTTGATTTATACACCCATTCTCGATTAATAATTAGAATAAAAATCACATGTATGAAAAATACTTAGTTATAACAAATCATATGCTCAGTATAGGTTATGTCAATTGAATGCAAGAATATCGTAATTTATACAGAATGAAATGTCATATGGGAAAACAGAAACAAATACTATACTTAGTATTCATGACACTGAATTAAAACGGAATTAATGTTGAATAAAAATCATAATGAGTAAATCAATCGAATTTTGACTTTATTCCCGTCATATCAATGCTATACTGGTTAAACTTAAAATAGTACAAGTGGACATCGATCCAGTGTTCCTAATGGTTAAATGTTTATCGTAAGACATGAAGGTTCAGGATTCTGTTCCTAACATGATTATGGATGAACAATATAAAGTAGTCCCATACTAGGATGAAACATCATTCCAGTAAACCATATTTCTATATAGTGCCCCAAATGAAATCAGTCATAGAGGAAGCGATCTAGAAATCAGATTTTTTTCTGATATTCTAATGATTTCTAAAAGTAAGAATATTCATAACCACATAACGACATTGTTCATTCATTCCCATCGGTCTATTTAAAATTATTAGTAAGTAGTGAAATATGTTTATTGAATCTCATATGACCAAATCCTGTTCCCACTAATGTTTTACGAAAATTAATCACTGACTCGGATATAAAAAGGAATCTGCAAGTAGATTTTATCTACTCATGAGTAACCAAATTATGTTTAATAAATAAATTTGAAGTACCATAAACTGTTGAAAGATTAATCGCTTATATGTATTATATCATTGTTCTTAACTACTTTTTAAATATTCGGCAGAAGGTGAAATTACTTAGACGATCATCGGGGACTATAAATTAGGGTAACTATGATGCTCTATTACTGATTTCTATCTATTTGCATAGTCTATGCACAAGCAACTTGGTCTTCTGAGAAAAATGCTTCATAAAAGCAAAGGAACTAACAAGCAGTTGTGAAAACCAAACAATCTTTTTGAGTAGATAGTCCAACTCTTTCTGATTCTATTTGCAAATGTATTTGCTTTCTACCTTTCAAAGTAACTACAAATTATCGAGCCTTGATTCAGAGAGTTTTAGATTCCCAGCTTTAACGTAATTCTTCTGAAAATATCGATTCAGTTTTGCAGATTTTCCATCTGTTTAATAAGCTATAGAAGTGTAAAACACTATACAATCTGATGTATTCCAATATCTTAAAATCATTAAAAATGATCGGTAAACAAATAGCCTAGTAGTTATAGCACGTTACTGAGGATGTAGCTAAAAAATTGCTGGAAATGACTAAATATCTCAAAAGTTACTGAGACCAAGCATTCCATTATTTCGTTGCCTAATATCTTGTTTTATATCGGAAACTTTAATACACGTTAGCCTTTTTCCGCCTTCTAATATTTTTACTTTGCCCGTCAATTGACTATTTTAGTTGAAAGAATTAAGTAAAATGTGAGATGCTCTTTTCCTAGAACACTGACAATTACATCTGATTACGATCCAGTATTTTGACCAATTCATTTATTTCCTCTTCATTGTCTTCGACCATTCGGAGAAACAGCTTAACAATCTCGTATTGGGAGTGCTTTATGTTCAAGTCCTCTTTTATTACAATACATATGTGTTGATCAGCACTTAGTGTCCTATATCTGACTCCAGTTAAATCGCATGCTGATTGTTATCTAAATATAAACATCTCAAACCCTCGTATATTTTTATCGACTTAATTCGTGTTAGAGAATAACGCAATAAAATAAGTCAAATATGAGAATGAATTTTGAATACGCATATTTCATACACTCATTGATCCAGATAGACAAACAGAGAAACGATGTGACGCGCAGTAGAGAAGGCGTATGAGCCAACTCGTTTTTATCAAGCGCGAATCAATATTTATATCCAGACAAAAATAAGTTACAGACACGTTATCAATAGGGTGAGCAAGTAACACATATACGATCATATAAACACAGTCATGGTTAATAAGCAAATAATCAACAAGGTCAAAATGTGGTTTAAGGAGGATGAATAGATCGGTCTGTTCAGTGGCTATATATGGACTTAACATAGTACCAGCCACTACAGGCTTGTTGTGTTTTCGATCTGTTCAGAAATAGGTTATGATCCATACAAAACTGTAGAGGACGATCATCTTTATGTGACTACTCATCAACTACCCTCTGTCCTCAGACGCCTAAACTGTGGACTGAAATCTCGCTTTAGATCTACAATATCTATCAGACGTGTTTTCTTGGAAGAATTTAGTTAGTGATTGGACCCATTCTTGATTGTAACCGAATTGAAATCTGCTTGGAGATATGCTAAGATTATCAAACTATGTTATTTCCCATAAAGTTCCTTCTCACATAAACGAGCGTTAATGGGGATTCAGCTGGTTATTGTTGTCTCTGATCTGGCGCTCAACGTGATACCATTGCCAGGTAAACTTAATCTCAATGCCATAGTATTATCTCACTATTCTCTATAGTTCATACAATACTGGTATCTTCTTAAACAACATTTTATAGGTATGAAATAAAATAAAATAAAACTGCCTATTTATCTACTTATACCTTCGTCTAAATCTAATCACTGATAATGCAAAATAGCTAAAGTATTTCATTAAATCAAATCTGATTATTTTATGACCATACCCATGTTTATTTAATCTTGTCTTTTACACAATCTTATACATAAATGCAAATAATAAACAATGTTTATCGTATTACCTTCTCTGTTTTATACTTAATGTTCACATATGTAGTAATGAAAATACGGTTAAATGTAATAGATTTAATTATAGTTGTGTGTGAGAGAGAGAGAGAGAAAAAAACACCCTTAAAACATTGAATTTAATTCAAGATCTATAACCTGTATGTAGCAGTTGAATAAGGGTTACAAAAGAAGGGGAAAATACTTTTGATTTTCTTTATCATAATCAATGATAAATACATGTATTTTAAATTTTACATTACAAATTAAAATAAGATTTATTTTGTTTTAATATAAGTCTTTGTACATTATTCTTATTTAACCTTATTTGTAACCTATTGTTTCATATTAGTAATGTATCTACTTCAGTATAATGGAAGATGGTCACACAATTTCGTCGATTGGTTGAGGTTAGACATTAACACCATTGGATGCCGACTCAGTGATCTAGAGGTTAAGCATCGTGTGTGAGACTGAGGGCCCTGAGTTTGAAATCCCCGAGCGGGATCGTGAATGCTCACTGCTGAGGAGTCCCACAATGGGACCAAATGGCCATCCAGTGCTTCCAGGTTTTCAGTGATGGTTTAACACCAATCGGTTCATGATCACAATCAAAAAACTTAATAGTCTCCACAACGCTACACTGATAATTACCATTTCCTCACTAGTGACTAGCTTCGTTAGAGAATTCTCGGAGTTCTAGTGAGAAGCTGTGACAAATGGAACTAATCCGTGTCGGGTAGAGACAGGTATCTACCTCAATTAATTATATGTTGAAGATTGTTTTTAACTAAGAAGCTGTAGATACTCAGATAATATCAGTTACTTTTACCTTATAATATAGTCCATGGAAATATATATATACAAATCTCTTGCAATTTGCATCACAGGCTGAGTGTAGCAAAATTCGACTAAAAATTGTAAAATAGTAGATAGCTGTTCTGTCCCAATAAAGAACTCCTAAAATATGTGTACCCACAGTCAAACAAGGGATCGAACATAAAATCTCTGGGCTTCA